CCCCCCTGCCGCCAGTGTCTGTGCTGTGAGCACAGTTCCCACAAGTGGAAGGCGTCCCTCTCCACAGGGCTCTGTAGCCAATGGGGCATGGCTCTGAGGGCCCAGCCTTGCCCGGGGAGGACAGGGGGCTTTGGCTGAGATGCCACCAAACCTGTGTTTGCTTTCTCCAGGGGTTCCCTCTGCTTGTAAGCAGGTCGTAAGTGTGGAAACTACGAGAGACATTGAGTGGGCTTCATATACCTGCACTTTGGGATTCCATGTCTTTGGTAAGTTTTCTGCAGCTTTCATTCAGTTCAAACGTAAGATGTGTCTGCTTTTAGAATATTTCTCTAATAGCTATGAAATCTCATAGTCACCAGTTTTGTCAAACTACTCTGCTGCTATGTGACCCTGCAGGACACACTCCCCGCAGCCCCCTGGGGAAGGGCCAGGGCTTGCCTGGCAATGGCCAGGTGAGAAGAACCAGAGATGGGTTTTAACCCTTTTCTATTGTATGAAATGGCTCCTGAGATAATTCTCCAGAACCTTCTCATGTGAGGTTGTGCCAGACTTCCTAGATAGATAGACCAGATGGCACTCAATCAATTTATTTGTCATTTGTTAGAGTTAAATTGTATTTTTTTGGTCCTTTAACTTTTTCACTTCCTTCAAAGTTCAGATTAGGAATATATTTATAAATAGTCTAAAATAATTTACCACAATTTAGTAGAATAAAAAAGAAAAAGCAATATTTATAATCTCTTTATGTAAGACCGTAAGTCAGTAAGTTGGTGAGAATTTCACAAATCTCCGCAGAGCTGGCATTTTAGCATTTTCTGGTATAAATGCTAGGACCCCTTGGGTTTACTCCAGAACTGTCAGTTGAGAAACTGATGCTCATTCAGCTCTCTCAGAACCAAAGTTTTTGGGACCAAAAGCATTTCCTGGAGCAATGGTCAGGAGACACCACCACCCTCTACCCCAGACCATGCTGCAGGGCCCCCAGGGAACAGGGCTCTGGAGCCAAAGCTGCTGCCTCACTCGGCCCACAGTAGGCAGACACCACACCTGCAAGTAGCAGCCACGAAGAGCTAACACTGAGAAATGCCTGAAAGGCACACACAGACACAGGGTTAAAAAGTCCTTTGGAGAGACTCTCATATGTAAAGAGTGACCCTGAAAAAAGAAAAGATAGGAAACTGCAGGCTTGAGGACTAATCAGCTTCCCATCAGATGCTTTGGGGATAAAGCAAGGGCACTGTGTCCAGAACCAGGATTTCTGGCGCTCTCTCTGCTGTAACATCAAGAAGGGCCCCAAAAGAGCAAGGAGCCTAGAAAGCCTGTCACTGCTACTCTCGTGCAGTAGAATGGGCTAAGCCTTGCAGGGTTTCCTGGGAATGGCCTGGAGTGATGATCATGGAAACAGGGAGAGGCCGGGAGCCGAGACAAGGCGCTCTTTTGGCCCTGATTTCTAAAGTGCGGGACTTAACAGCGATTTTATTTTGGTGAGAGTTCATGACCAGTCCTCGCAGAGTGTGGCCCAGTGTTCCTGGTGTTTCCAGTGCTCTGTCTGTGGTTTTGTTTTAGGAGTATGGCCAGAAGGCTCGGACGGAACCGACATCAATGCTGTCTGTCGGGCCCACGAGAAAAAACTCCTGTCCACCGGCGACGACTTCGGCAAAGTGCACCTCTTCTCGTACCCTTGCTCCCAGTTCCGGGTAAGGGACTTGTCTTCTTCGCTAATCTTAGCCCTGTGGGCGTGCATTTACCGCCTGACCTGGTTGCTTGGTAATTAAGTAGGAATGCCACTGGTCACAAATGTCCACCTGACCCTGTTATCCCGCTGCCCTAGACCACGTCAGGGGCTCCCCACTGCTCTCTGGGGGAAACTCCCGACCCTAGAAGCCCTTGGATCTGGCTTGTCTACCCCTGTGGCTGCGCGGGCCTCACTCCTCTCCCCTCCACCACGGCTCCCTCAGCCCCAGCCCTGCTGAGTTAAGCCAACGCCAGAGCCTAGAACACCTTCCTTGTCCTTCCCAGACCTGACCTCCTTCACCGAGGACAGCCCTCACCCTCAACCCCTGGCATCTGTTTAGTCCCTCCTTTGGGCCGACCCCGTGCCTGGTCAGCCCTCTGGGATTGAACGTATTCCGGGCCAGGGCGGTCATTTGCCCGAGTGTGTCCCCCCATCAGACCAGATTCTCGATGTGCAAGGACTCCGTGTGGTCTGCTTCTGTGTCCCTCTTGTGTCTGTGCACAAATGAGAGCTCTGAGGGAGGGAAGAAAGAAGGAATGAATGTGGGATTCCAGGACTTTCCAACTCCAAATAGTTTGCCTTGCCTTACGCTCCCTCCGTGTCATTCTTCCCCAGGCTCCCAGCCACGTATACAGTGGGCACAGCAGTCACGTCACCAACGTGGATTTCCTCTGTGATGACAGCCACCTCATCTCCACGGGCGGCAAAGACACGAGCATCATGCAGTGGCGGGTCATTTAGCCCCGGCAGGAACCGTGGGAGCAGACCAGGCATGGAAGACACAGACTCACCCACGCTCGCTCACTGTGATTTCTGTTTTGTTTGAAAAGTTCTTACAAACCTCAGGAAAACTACTCCCTCTACCGGTTACCTTAGCGAATCAGTGAGCGTCCCATCGGATCCGCGGTTCAGGTTTCTCTTTGGTTGTACAATACATAAAACAGTGCACATTTAATATAAAAAAGATGCCAAGGTTTACATTATGGTGACATTGACAGAAGTAACTGGTATATCCTTTGTAACTTTTCTATGAACTCTTCAAAAATGGTCACAGAATGCCTTTTAAAATATTGTACATAGGCTTTACGATTTCACCATCTAGCTTGCTAAGTCAAATATTTATGATAATAATGAGGTACCGACTTGTGATCACTGTTGATTAATTGTTCCTAAAAGGATAAATGGATTGAGAAGAGAGTGGATTAATGATTTGCACAGCTGAATCAGGAAATGCAAATACAACTTTATTTGGTTACGTTTCTAAGGTTTCATTCAATTCTCCCTCTGGGAGGCTGGTGAGAAAGGAGTTGTATTCTTCTTGTGTTAAGCAGATTCTACTCCAGATTAACTTAAATATTTCAGCAGGGTATACAGGCATTTCAGAGCTTCAGTTAGACTGTCTGCCTAACCAGATGCAGTCAGCCACTTAACACCTACGTGAATTGTGTCCCCTTCTGTTCCCTGTTCCCGTGCCCTGAAGAATGGTGGAGACATTTAGCCACTTTTCTCTGTATATTAATTGGCATGATATGGTATTGTACTTGTATAGGATTTTAGCAATTCATAATAAATATGTAAGGCTAGGCTTTACTATTTTATGCTTATGGACATTGTATATTTGTATTTTAAGACCAAGTAGACCAAGTCAAAAAGAGATCTCTTAAGTGTACCATAAACCTGCGGCGCGGAGAAGTCTGGAAGGCTCCACCAGGTATTAAGGGCAGCTTCTTTTCCTGTCTTTTGTGCATGGACAGCTCGTTGCGCCATGAAATAAGATTGCGTTCAGATGAGGACACCGTAGGTGGCAGACATTTGTCAAGAAGGCCTTATCCATTTCAATTGTGTGACAGAGTGAAATTTATTGTTTACATTGGGGAATGTATCTCAGATTTTAAAGTAGAACAGTAATAAACAGACTTAAAACGGAATATTAAGATTTTTACTTGTTCGAGGCAAGTCGATGAATCGAATTATCTGAACTCTACAGCACTGGTTGTTTAGAGGGGCTGATTCAGCGCAAATTTTGGAAGCATTTTTTATGACATCTCCAGCCTGCTGCAGAAGTGCAGGGCACCAGAAAACGATATGTATTAAAGACGAATCTGTTTGTATGTATCCTTATCAAATATATTCTATAATGAAATAAAATCTGAAAAGTGGATTTCTTATTGACCTATATTCATGAAAGTATATAAATTAAAATATTTAAAATTAGATACGATTCACACTATATTCTGTTTCATATACAGATTTTTTTCCTCACCTAAATCATTTGCAAATGGAACTACAGTTTGCATGTGGTGTGTAAGCATCCATCAGATTACATAACTATAAAGAATTCAGCTTAATTACCACACTCAGTTGTTATTTTACTTGGTTATGTAAATACTGGCAAAAATAATCATTTTTAAATTAATAATTAAGGGAATAACCAGGTCAGGGAAGGGAAAGGGACCCATTATTGATTTATACATTGTAAGATTTACTTTTAGTTTTATGTATTTCCACTATTTTCCAAGCTCAATAATGGAAAAAGGATATGTATATAAACTATTATTGTTATCTTCGTACTTGCCTACATTTTAAATGAAATTCTTTAAACAGCCCAGTGTTAACCTTACAGGTATTCATTATTTGCTCGCTCACTCATTAGCATAGCTAGCAATGGCCGAGTACCACCACTCACCACCTCCCAGGCAGACAAGGCCTAGAACCTCCAGGATTCTGCTGGAACAAGAGACCCCAGAGGGATGGGGCAGCTGCCAGCCCAGGGGCCAGGCCTCTTCCTCCCAGTGCCCTGTGGCCACATCAGCTCTTAGCCTGGCTGTGGAGAGTGACGAGAGGTTGTTACCCTAATCTTTGTCAGGTGATAGTGGCCTGGATGAGAGTGCAAGTGGTGGACGGGGGAGAGGCGAAGGGATTGTCCGAGAAAGGTTTCGGAGGTGACATCAGCAGGGCCTGGTGATGGATCGGATGTGGGTGGCAGGTAAGGCCCAGGGCCCTGACTGTTCTCTGGTTGGATGGCGGTGCCATTGGCTAAGATGCAGAGCACTGGAAGTTTGAAAGAGGATAAAGTCGGGCCTGGGACAGGCTGAAGTGAGGTGAGGGGCCTCTGCAACATCCAAATGCAAGTGCGAAGCAGGCATTTGGCTAGCAGGCTCAGACCAGAAACCTGGCTGGAGGTGCCACTGTGAGGCTCTCCCCAGGAGGCTGACATCTGGAGCCAGGGCGTGGCTGAGATTGCATGGTGCCGGTCCAGCCAGGCAAGGAGAGGGCCTCCCACCCAGCCATGGGGGCTCAGAATTCAAGGGCAGGTAGGGGAGCATGAGCTGGGATGGGGTGGGACAGAAAACAGATCTACACGAGGGGGCTCTTGAGGGTCAGGCAGCAGGGCGGCTTGATTTGGTGCTCGTTGTGGAGCCAGTGGGGGCTCTTCACTCATATAGCAAAGGGCTTTCCAGCATCTGTGTGCAAAGCGTTGTAGGGCAGGAGATCCAGGGTGGAGCCTTGTCAAGTGGGGAAGAAGGAACACAAGGTCAGGGGTGAGGGCGTGGCAGGCCTGCCAGGGCCCGCTGGAACTGGGTAGAGGGAATTCCTGGCATTTGTGGATTTACATCTGTGGTTTGTACTCTGTGTGGTGCACCCTGGCAGTGGGGCAGGAAGGGGCTGTCTGGTTCACTGGGAAGCATACTCAGGCATCTTCTCAACCTCCCCAATTTTTTTTGTCTGTGTGTGAGGAAGATAGGCCCTGAGCTAACATCTGTTGCCAAACCTCCTCTTTTTGCTGAAGAAGATTGGCCCTGGGCCAACATCTGTGCCCATCGTCCTCCACTTGATATGTGGGATGCCGCCACAGCATGGCTTGATAAGCGGTACGTAGGTCCGCGCCCGGGATCTGAACCTGCAGACCCCAGGCCACTGAAGCAGAGCATGAGATTTTAACCATTACGCCAGGTGGGCCCCCCGACCTCCCCAATTTTTTTGAATGAATACTTCCAATGCCCAAAGGTTGTACATTCCACTCATTAATCATTTTTTCTGTGATTTGGGAACAGGCCACCATCATCTAATCTTTGAGGCAGAAGAGCACATAAAAGAAGCAACGTTTGAGACCCTGTGGCCTCTTCAAAGGGGATCCATCTAATGCACAACTAGGGAGACAGCTTTTTGGTGAAAACGAGCTAGAACTATGTACTTGTTGCAAGGTAGAAATTGATTCCAAGCTGCTATTCCTACTGACTCCATTTTTTTTAACTATATAGAAAAGTTCAAACATAGACAAAAGTAGAGCCTCTCACCTAGCTTCAAAAATTACCAACACATAAAATCTTGTTTCCTCTGTCTTCCCTAATCTTTGGGGGAGACTAGAGTATTTCAAAGGCAAGTGCAAGCCAGCATGTCATTTCACCTGTAAATACTCCCGTCTGCCGCTCTGAGGAGGACAATTTACTAACCAAGTGATGTCATCACAGCTGACAGACTTAACAGTTGAGTACCCAGGCCATACTCAAATTTCTCGAGTTGTCACACCAGCCCCATGTCTCATGCTTAGCACGGCCCAGGGACATGATACAACCCTACAAAGCACGGGGGCGTACAACCTCCATGCCTGCCTCCCTCCATGCAAGTACGGGCTAGGGGCTCAAGCATGCACTTGCAGCTTAGTTCAGGACCCTTCTTAGTTCAGGACCTACATCTCCCCGACACAGGCCCTGTGGCTTGCTGCCCATTTGCGCCTCCCCACCCCCCACTCCCTCGCCTGTGGGCTGGATACTCAGCTGCCCGGAGACACTGGCTCCTCCCTGTCCCTCCCCCTCCCCACACTCTGCCTCAGGCCCCCTCAAGGGGTCACCCGGCCTGGATCCTTCCCGCCAAGGCTGGCAGGCTGGACCAGACAAGGGAGCGGTTGAGAAACCTCCTCTCCCTCTTGGAGGAGGAGCCTCATTCAAGGTGAACCGTCGCCTGCAGAAGTTCCCGTCCCTCCCAGAGGGTCCCAGCTGTTCCAGCTTCTCTCCTCCATGCTTTTCCACACCTTTCAATAAAAAGGGGATGCAAACTGGTACCACCCTGGGCCCAGGAGGTGGCAAGCGAGTAGGGGCAGCAGACATACTTTTCTGTTGGCTGTCATATGAGCACCCCGCACTAGGGAAGCCTGAGGGAGGGGTGAGGGGGCTCGATAATGTGGATGAGTTAGAACAAATTTGGTTATTTCAGCTTAGAACAGAAGTAGCTGCCATAGCACCCATAAGATGAAGGCTGAAAAGGTAATTATCAAAAGCACTGAACTAGATTAACCTTCTCCCCACCAGCGCCGCTAGCTACAGGTGCGCCACCTGGTGGCAGAAAGCAGAGCACGGCCTGCTCCCTCCAGCTTGCCGTTTCTGGTTCTGCCCCCATTAGGCTGGGAGTGTGGTGAGGGAGAAAGGAGAATCCTTGCTTGACTAAGACGGTTCTCCACTCTCTGGGCGGGGCAGGTGTGTCAACTGACCCTCCTCAAGGGGCTTTCAGAGGTTCTTGGGGAACCCCTACATTGCTGATGGTCTCACCCTCAGTTCCCTTGACCTGGGTAAAGGTGTTCTGTGAGATAGATGCTTTCTCCTGCAGCCCCTGAGCACAGGGAAGTCCGCCTCCAGTCCTTCTTCTGTGGAAGTCCCACCGCCCCTCCAGGTGGCTTTGTGGACAGGATCGCAGATCACCCCACGCAGGCTCTCTAACTGACGGCTCACATCTGCTCTGAGGAAACTTTTGTGCCTCCCGGACCCTGACCCCAGTGGGTGGGCAGTCACTTCCTCCCACACACAGCCTTTTCTGGGCATCTGGCTGAGAGTTACCCTGTTGCCTTTAGATTTTTTAGCCACTAGTCCACAAATTCCAGGGGACACGCCCCAGGCTCAAGAGGCTTGAGGTGAGAGGGAGCAACCCCCATGGCTCCCTCTTTGAGAAAAAGGGTTGGAATCAACAGCTCAACTTTCCCCCAAAGATCTTCCTACAAATACTTTGTAAAATTCTAATTCCCGACCGTTGTATACCCTTACCATGGATGAGGGAGGCTAAGAGTTCCCTTGGGGACCTCCTTTGTAAATTCTGCCCGGGGCTAGCAGCACCTCTGGAATGCCACATCTGTTGGATCTTGGCTCCTCAATTGAAACGGCAGCTCAACATCTGGTGACACAACAGTGCCCCGGTGAGCACTCTCATGCAGTTTCTTTGTACTTTGTATGAGCAAGAGTTTCTCTGCGATCTCTTCCCAAGAGTGGGACCGCTGGTTTTCTGGGGCACGCACATGCTTGGCTTCACCAGATTTTGCCTGGTCTCTCTCCCACTCAGTGTAGCAGGGTCACCATTGTTCCACTTCCTCGCCAGCATTCACCTGCACGACAGCCCTGAGAGGTAGGACCACTTGCCCCTCTTTGAAGATGAAGAGACAGAGGGGTTTCAGAAAGATCGAGGTGCTTGCCCAAGGTCATCACCTACTCGCTCGAAAAGCTAAGGGTGGAATGCCAGCACTCTCAGACTGATGTTCTGCAGAGCGCCATTCGAGAAGTTGCTAACATACTTTAGAAAGTGCCACATACTACACATAGTAGATGGTATGTAGAGACTCCCGTGCAGATTGTGCATTAAAGGCATTGAGAAGTTCTGTACTAAGCCTGTTTACACTGGCATTTCCCAAACAGAAACATGGGGCACTTTTCTCCCAAGACGCTGATCACTGGCTGTGGATCAACGTTCCATGGCATACCACCTTGGGAAATGCCGTGGGAGAAGATTAATCATATAGAAGCTTAATGTAACAAAGAAGTGACAGGGAACTCAGGAGCCAAATGACTCTCATTCCCTCCTCTCCCCTGAGTTTCAGCGAGGAAGGACTCTAAGGCCAAATTCTGAGTGGCAGGGACAAGGCAGAGGAGAGCTTTCCTGTTATTCCGCTGTGCCCAGCCAATTCTTTAGAATAGAGCAGTCAGCCTCACTGATGTGCAAATCAGTAACTGGAGACCCTCAGGGTGCAATGGTGAGGGTCTGTGGCAACGGAACAAGCCCCCTGGACAAGGAAGGACCTTTGCTCCTTTTATTAGGCGAGTTGCCATGGAGATGGAAGGGGTAGAAAGGGAGACACTGAGAAAGCACTAGCTTATAACATTTCAGCTTATAACATTTGGG